TATCATACTCAAAATTTGCAAATGGGATATCCTAATGACAATACAAGTTTACAACTCTTACTTGATGTTTTAAAATTAAATTACCCAAAATTATCAAATTATATCATAACCGAAGAAAAACCAAAATGCTAAGATGATTTCAAAAAGGTCTAATTTTATTTATATTTATATAAATCATTCAAATTAAATGACATGCTTCACAAAAAGGATGGACAAAGCTCAACATATATGGAGCATTCGATAAACAAAAGGTGGTTTAGGTGGAGTGTTTAGGGACAGTACGAAAAAATAGATATTAGGATTTCACAAATACTATAATGCTATATATCCTTTACACATTGAATTGCAGGCTCTCCGGGAGGGGCTACAATTGACATCAAGGTTTGATTTATTCCTATTGGAAGTGGAAACAAATTCAACAGAAGTGATCAACACTATTAACAATGGCCATACAATACTAGCTAATTTGATATACTCTTGCAGGTTATTAATGCACCAGGAGAAGGGCCTTCTACTACAACATGATTTCAGGCAAGGAAATGCAGTAGCTGATGCACTAGCCAAGGAAGTAAAAAACCAAAAAAAAAAAACAATATAATCCTGGAAGAACAAAATTATTTGTTATACCGCCGTTTTTTGTGCAGCAACTTCTAACCAATAACATGAACGAAAAATGTAACTCGTCAAAACAACTACCTATCTCTTTGTGCAATATGCTTAGAACCCCAGGAAATCAAAAATTGTAAGTGACAATAGTTGTTTGTCTGAGGGAATACACAGCCCCAATGTCACTTTGGCCTGTAATATGCAAAACTCTGTCTAGTCAGTAATATGTAAATCCTTTTACTACTAAAAAAAAAGAATACAATAATAACAACAACATACTTAATATGATTTCACAAGTTGGGTCTACGAAGGATGTAGTGTATGCAGACAATACCTCTATACAAGATAGATAAACTATTTTTGATAGACCCTCAACTTAAAAAAAGTATTTCCAAAATAGATTTAAAAAAAGTATGATAAAATACTAAAGAACAAAAAAGTATTGATGACAAAAGTAGTATATAAAACTAAAGTAAAAGAAGCAATAGTAGCAACAAAATTAAAGAATAAGATAATAAAAGAACAATGAGAAGAGGGAGCAATAAGTTGCTCGAAACTAGGACCACACTCTTACACAAAAAAAAGAGAGATCGCGAGGCAACATGCTAACCTACTAATCTAATGCTCGACCTCCATGTTCTCCTATATAGGGTCATGTCATCGGTGAACTGAAGATGTATTATATTCTGTCTAATTATATCTCCTCAATTCTTCCTCGGTCTACCTCTAGCTCTCCTTAGATCTAACACTATCAACATCTCGCACCTCCTCATTGGGGGCATCTATGCTCCTCCTATTCACATGTCCGAACCATCTCAATCTCACTTCCTGCATCTTATCCACCATAGATTCCACTCACACCTTGCCTTCTATCTTTGTTCCTAATCTTGTTTCTCATGGTATGGCCACACATCTATCTAAGCATTTTTATTTTTGCTACTTTCATCTTCTGATCTTGTGAGTTCCTGACTGACCAACATTATACCTTATACAACATAGTTGGTATAACAACCACTCTATAGAACTTACATTTAAGTTTTAATGGCATATTCTTATCACATATGACACCAGATGCGAGCCTCTATTTCAGCCACCCTACTCCAATACGATATGAGATATTATCGTCGATCTCTCCATTTTCTTGGATTAGTTGAATAACCAAAAAATTAATATGACATAAATTTCTCTAAATAACCAGTTGAACTGAACCATTAACACTACTGACTTGAGGGGAATGGCTTAATTTATTTATTTTTAATTTTTAAAGTGTCCATATTCTGATTAGATTTAAAAGCAAGGGGCTTTTTATTATTTTGCAAGGAGTAATTAGGTAGGAAGTCAAGATTACAGTTGAGAAGGCCATAATTAGGTTGGAATTTTTCTTCTTTTCCTTTTATATATCTTAAATTTCTTAAAAAAATGTATAAAGTATCTGGTATAGTGAGAAATAAGCAAACCCAATGTTTCTCGAATTTAGATTTTTCAGTATCCAATATTTAAATGGGAAGATATGACTCTGTTTAGGGATTTGTACATTTTATTAGCAATAAAAACTGAAATAAAGCATTATTTTATTGCAGGAGTTGAAGCTTTAACAGCACATCATCGGTTGACTGGCTTTTTGTGGTTTGAATACTTTCACCGGCTTTTTTTTAATTGCATAAAACAATAATTTAAAATCGTTTTAACCCCTTTCTTTTTCTGAAAGGCCGTTTTAACCCCTGAATTTATTTTTCTTTGGTCGTTTATGTCCCTACCAATTAACGTGTTCTTTTCTTTCTCTCTCTTCCTTTTAAATGTACACGTCTTTTTTCACTCTTTATATTTTTCTATTTCCGTTAGTTGAACTTCTAGAAATATCGAATGCAATGTACTTTTACCGGATTTTTTTAAAAAAAATTACATATCTAATTTTAATATTTGAATGAGAATAAAAATATAAAAGGATGAATTAACATGGGGTGATGGGGAAATTAACTTGATTTCAGAAGAATCGTTATAAAATGCTAAGGGATTTTACATGCAAAAGTGCATATCATCAAATAAATAATTTTAATATATTTATCAAGCATGTATCCGCTATTTATAAAATTAATTTCAATATTTAAAAATATTTTTTGAAACTTGATCTTCACTATTCACATGTATACCTCTTTTTTATATTAAATAATCTATTGTTTAGTCGGTTGGTACAGTATGATATTTAGATATTTCAGTTCGACATTTAAGATATTCGATTTCTTAAAGTACTATACCAATACCATACCTAATTGAATTCGATATAGTTTGACTTTTCTCCTTTAAATTTCGATTTATTTGACCCGATTCTTGCACTTTATTAGACTTGAATACTAGCTAATGCATAGAACCATTAACAATAATATTCTCATTAATTAAAGTACCCACAAAGGCAAAACTAAAAAAGTTCTTAGCTCAACTAACTGTTGACAAAATCTTTATCAGCAATAATATGTGAATTATGTAACTTAGTATATATTTCGATACGGTGTCAATATTTCAGTATTACCAAATATCATACTTAATACTATTTTTTTAACCAAATACTATATTAAATACCAATATTTTCGATTTAAGTAAGGTAATTTGATATTTACTATATAATGCACAACCCTACACTATTGTTGTGAGCTTAATTTCTTTTTCTTTTATTTTTTTTGCTCTATCATATTTAAAATGTGGCAATAAGAAAATTCTATCATTTAAACTTTTTATGTTGAAGGTTATAAATAACAATGTATAATATATTTTACTTTTACAGAAATTGAAACCTCCTTGAAATTTTAAATATTTTAATAAAATATTGATGAACATTAAATATGTATATTTAAAATAAAATTTGACACAGATACATCTTAATCTTAAAATTTTTTCTCTTTTGTAACGGAAGAAAAAGGGTATAATAGTAGGAATCATTATGATTAAAGGGATTGCATTTTCGGCCCAAAAGCATACGTTTTTTTTCTTTTTTTTACTGATAAAGAAAATACTATGCGCATACTTTCTTTTCCACTCAAATTATAACGTTTCCGGAATTTCATGATAATATAGACAAGTTATTGACACCTATTCAAAAAAAAAAAAAAGATATTACAATAATTCAAATTTCAAACGTACCAAATCCCAATAAATTTAAATACTACGAGTTTAAGTTTGGTGCAAATCATGAGACAAATACGAACTATAGTAATCAGTGTTGTTCGTCAGTCGATACGATATGATGCTGTATTTAAGTATTTTAGTTTAGTATTTTTGATATTTGATTTCTTAAAATGCTATAGCAATACCATATCTAATTAATGGTTCGGCTTTTTCCCGTTCAATTTTGATTTACTCGGTCCGACAACTTCAATTTGTTCGACTTGAATATTAGCTAATTGATAGAGCCATAAACTGTAATGTTCTCATTAGTTAAAGTACTCAAAAAAAAGTATCAACACATAAAGAGAAATTTGTACATCACACGGTAAATTTAATTATTAAAAATGTCTTTATTACTTGTTTATAGTTAATTCCTAAACTTAGAGAATACAACAAGGATTGCCAACGTCAACGTGAATGCCAAAGAAAAGTATTATATACATCCTTAATCAAAGGTCTCGGGTTCGAATCCCTGGGTATGGAATCGCCTTTGTTGTGAAGCACTTTATCCCCAATGTTGAACTTCTCTGTGTGAATCCGTATTTAGTCGGGTACCAATGTGGGTACCGGACACCGTGTGTGAAACAATTTTTTTTTATATAACTTGATATGCTATAATCAATAATATATGCATTGCATAACTTATTACATATATCAGTACAATATCGATATTCTTTTAATACTAAATATTATATCTAATACGAAAATTTTAAAAATTTTAAAACAAATACCATATTAAATATCAAAATATTGAACATTAAATACCATTTTTTTATATTTTGATATGATAATTCAATATTTATCATATTATGCATAGCCCTAAAAGTAATACGTAACCTTTCATATCAAGCTGATAATATAATCCAGAGAATAAAGTGAAAATTCAATAAAGTTTAATGCAAAAATTATTTGTCCTATCAATATATATAACATAGATATTTTATATATTCTAATGAGTGAATAGGATAACATGTAATATTTTCTTTAACACCACTTCTCCTATTTATGGAAAATTAATGAGATTTGGTAATTATAATTCATAAAATCATAAATCTCCAAAAATGAAAACAAAATCTTGTCATTTATCTAAGGCAAAAAATATAAAAGGGTAATTATGAGAACATAGAAAGTAAACTGGGGACATTTTGGACATTTCATCACAATTAACAAGTACTAGGTGTAGAGTCTAGACAAGGGGCAATTACTATATCAGTTGTTTTTTCTTCACTTTATTTTCTTCATTGACCCCATTAATGGAGGGAACCTCAACTTTACAAACTCCAAAAAACATCAAACAAAATTTTACTTATGAAAATCAAAACTAAATAGTAGTAATAATCTCCAAAACCCCTTTTCCCTTCTGGCGCCATTTGTTTACCAACCCTTATTTCAAACCAAACCTTTATTTTTTAATTTAATCTCTATTTAAATTTTAAAGTTACATTCTTGATTTTTTCCCACAGTACTGTGTTCTTTTTCTGTTTTGGGTTTATTTTTAGGGAAAAAAATGATGGAAATGGAAGACAAAGAGAGTACAGAATCTGGTTCACTCGGTGTTAACTCAGAATATGACTCACCACCGCCACCACCACACCCCCAACCACCACCAGTAACAGCAGTAGCAGCCAATGGGAGTTTGACAAGTGGCAGTGGTAGTGGGGTTGTGCCACAACAAATGCTGAATATGAACACGAACATGAACATGGGTATGACAACAACTGAGGGGGTAGTAGGGGTGGTGGTGGGTAGTGGGGGTGGTGGGGTAGTGGGTAGTGGTGGGGAGAAAAAGAAGAGAGGGAGGCCAAGAAAGTATGATGCAGAAGGGAACTTAACACCTCAATATATAAAAGCAGCTGCAGCAGCAGCTGCAGCTAAAGCAGCAGTGGCGGCGGCGGCAGTGACGTCACCTGCTGCTGGTGGTGGTGGTGGTGGTGGAGTGACACCACCGTCAGGTTTTACTATAACGTCACCGCCTTCTTCTGCTTTTTCTTCTTCTTCCTCTAAAAGAGGACGTGGCAGACCTTCTGGTTCTTCTGGTAACTTGCAATTAATTGCTTCTTTGGGTAAGTTCTGTTAAGAGATTTTGCTCAAAGATCTGTTAATTCCTAAAAAAATAATAGTTAATCTTCATATGTTTGTTGATTTAAAGGGACAAAAACCCTAGAGCGGTCTTTTTTATTTTTTATTTTGGAATGAATTGGAAATAGCCTCTCTATTGTCTCAAGACTGCTAACGTCAGCGTACATACTAACCTAACTAGACCTCAAATCCTTCCTCAAATCCTTTCCGGGTTAACGGTGAGGTGGTCATACATATTACCCTCTCCAGTCCCTACATGTGTGTCTTCACTGGGTTGTTGAATAAATCGAAAACAACCTCTTTAACTTATCAGAATAGTGTAAGTTCTGCGTATATACTATCCTTCACCGACCCCATTTGTGTGTCTTCACTGTGTTGCTGTTGTTAAGTGAATCTGAAATGAGGAAGGCAAAAAATCCAAGATTTGGTTTTGTTAGCTTTAGTTTGTTTTACCTAATGATTTTTCTGACGTAAGAGTGATATGCTTTTTGGTGTTTGAAGGTGAGCTGTTTGCACATACAGCTGGAGGGGATTTTATGCCACATGTGGTTACTGTGCATACTGGAGAGGTAATTTCTTCTCTTTTCTTTTCTTTTTCTTTTTGATGTCTATTTTTTGTGTCTTTAATGATGTAATGAAATGAAATACTAGGATCTCCTTTTCAGATCTGAAATGTTTTGTGTTATGTACTGGTTTAGGATGTGGCTGGAAAGGTTTATTCTTTTGTGCAGAAGGGTTCAAGAGGGATCTGTGTTTTGTCTGCAAATGGGGCTGTTTCTAATGTTACAATTCGTCAGCCTGGTTCTTCTGGTGGTCTCTTGACATATGAGGCATGTCTATTCTTGTTTTTCTCTTAATCTTGTATACCTTGTATCTTTTTTAAGATTGTGTTAGCTTTTACTGAGGTTTAGCTAATTGGATGCTTCTGTTATTGTTGTTGCCCTACCTCAACCACCCCCACCTGAAAAAAGCAAAGAAATAAAGAAAAAAGAAAGTCTCAAGATCAAGCTCTAAAAAATTAAAAGATGGTTTCTCTGCGGAAATATAGTTTCTTTTTTATTTTATTTGATAAAGTATATATTCTGCGAAAATGTTGTTATAGCTGGTGAAGGGTAGTTGCTGCCTCCAGGACTTTGGTTCAGTAGTAAGAGCACCTGAGTGATGTGTTAGGTTCACGTCACAAGTTAGAACCGTGCGCTAGTCAGCCTCGGGGATTTCTCGGGTATTAAAAACAAGTTGTTTGTGACTTGACTTTGTTTGGTCTTGAAAATTTGTGTCACCATTTATAGGAAATTGACTAAATCAATCCCGCAGTGTACTTGGTGACCTTGATTAATTTCGCCTTTACATGTGTGTATCTGTGATCTACACCATAAGTTAGGACTAAAACACTTCATAGGAGAGTGGTATATATTGTCTGAATCAATGTATCAAGGAAACTTTGGCGTGCAGCCTGAATGCCATATTGCTTTTACATGGTTGAACTTCAAAAGTAGAGAAGCGTCGTAGGGTGCTCCAGTGGTTATTCATCAAAGCACAATAATTTTAAGGATCAAAGATATCTCCATCACTAGGAAGGTCAAGTGTGCTATTGCATGAGCTTCCCATCTTTAACTGATTGCCGTAACTTCTCTTCTGTGTTCTAGTAATTTCCTTCAAATGGGGTTCCCAGATTTACTTTCTGTATTGCAGCTCTCGATATTTGGGCTATTTTCATGTTCATTCTAAAGGGCTTTGCTTCTGTTACAGTACAAAGCATGAATCAGTGTCCACCATTCTGGAGAAATCGTGTTTCTCCTTCTGCCTAATGTTTTATTTCCTTGTGTTTGATAATTGTGTTCAAGTGCTGTTCTTATTTTAAAACAACAGTTCTGAGTTTGATCCATCTTGCCAAAATTCAAATTTAAATGACTAAACAAAGATCCCCATAAATTGTTGTTAGCAGCCAAACTTAAGCTCAGATTGGCATCATTTAATTATGGATAGGATCAAATAGAGTTGACACTACACGTCTGAATCAAAATGGTTGTCGGATCACAGATGTCCTATCGCCGTCTCACTTGGATTAATTTATGCTCCCTAATTCTTTTCAGTTTACATGCCTGTTCTCTTCAGCACGAAAAGTGTTTTTGCAGTCTAGAAAGGAAAAGCAGTTCTAGGTTTTCCCATGAATGACTAACCTAATACACTTGCTGACGTAATTATATAGCCATTGAATTTCATTGCATCATTTTGCTACCTCAGTTCTCATGTGCGTTTTGTTTAAGAGTTGTTATGTCATCTATGAGAAAACAGGAGTTATTGCCTTTTATATCCTGGAAAATTCATATTTAGTTACTCTGCTGATGCAGGGGCGCTTTGAGATCTTAGCGTTAACTGGATCTTACACTGTTTCTGAAAATGGTGGCATGAAAAGTAGGTCTGGTGGATTAAGTGTTTCATTGGCTGGCCCAGATGGCCGTGTTATTGGTGGTGGTATTGCTGGTTCACTTATCGCTGCAAGCCCCATCCAAGTAAGTCCTGTTATGTTATTATATACGGAGTAATAATTGTAGGCCAATTATCTTTTCTGTTGTACGTGTCCACAGCCAACATCAATAGCATACCCTTTATTGATGCCATTTCTTCTTATGTCGCTAGATGGTGGTCGGAAGTTTCATGCCAAATGCTTTTATAAAACACAATAAAAGAAAGCATCACCAAGTCGAACCAAGAATGGCTCCCGTTATCCACAGCTCTCCGGACCCTGTTTCAATGGTAAGACCTGTATCACATGCACCACTTGTGAACAACATGACTCTAACTCAGGCACCTCAAATACCAATGCAAAACCACGGAGAGGTCGATAACAGCACGAGCAACAAAGATATGCCAAATTCCACATCTACCGACACTTCTGACTGTAATGGATCGGAACCAACTTTTGAGCAGAGACCATATCCTGATATTAACCTGTCTATACCTATGGAGTAGCTTGTTAAGTCGGGAAAGCAAACTCGACGATAGTTTCTTTTCCATTTAGCTGATTCCTTGTTTTCCTGACTGCTGATTGTAACTTGAGGAATCATTGTAGGAATGCCTTAGAAACTTTGAAGTATGCTGACATGACTAGAAGAGGGCTAATATATCTTTTGTTTTCTGGTTGTTGTAATGTCTATACAGATCTTTGTTCTTTTCTCTTTGAAGGATTTTACCTAGGAACAGATGCTATATAGTTGCATTAATGTCAGTCTTAAGTCCAAGAACACTCACTTATTCTTATATTGATATCATGTTTTTATGCCCAGTTAGTTGTGAAAGGCTTAATGCAGCGTCTCTCTGAGGCTGTATTGTCTTTTGGAAACAGCTTTTCTACCCGCACAAATTAGGAGTAAGGTCTGCATGCATACTAAACGCCCCAACCCCACCGCACTAATGTCAGTGGGAAGTCCAAGAGGACTCACTTATTCTTATATTTATATCATGTTTTTATGCCTAGTTAGTTGTGAAAGGCTTAATGCAGTTTCTCTGAGGCTGTATTCTCTTTCGGAAAGAGCCTCTCTACCTCTACAAGGTAGGGGTAAGGTATGCGTACATACTATCCGCCTCAAGCCTCACTTGTGAGAATATATTGAGTACGTTGTAACCTCATTTTATTTTAATGCGTCAATGTTAGCAAGCTTCAAAATAGAGTACTTCCGTTGATTGGTTGGTTGTTCAACCTATACATCTATGTTATATATGCTTCCTCAAAGGCTTTGTTGCAATTAGTAAAGCAAGTAAGGACATAGTACATTAGACTTTTCTATAACACTATCTTTATATAACAGCTATTCACTATAAAAGTCAAGTTTTTTCCGGAATCTATTATTATGTTATGCTATAATATATGTCCTTTATAGTAGCACTTCAATATAACATCCAAAATATCGGAACAATGCAGCTGTTATAGAGACGTTTGGGTGTAGTTATAAACTGTAAAGACATTTATATTGCATAGGTGAGGGAACCATTCCTCACATATTGTAGCAAACAGTAGTAGATCATTGACATTGTGACAATAGGTTGTACTTGAAACATTAAGTAAAACATAGTTATATAAGTTTTAGCCCATATCAAGTAAAATCTCAACGACTAAACTTCAGAAGCTTCCTTTTTTATGCCAAAACGGAGAATTATCTTAACATAGTAATTCCAATCAGGATGAGAAGCTGTTATTGCAGGTTGTCCAAAAGGATGTTCTTTCACGTACGTTGGAACATCATCTGCATCTGCTACACCTTCCAGAAACTTCCGTAGATCGCCGTTAGGACCTATTCAATATGTGTAAAATATAAATTAATCACTTCTAAACGACTTGACAGTGTATAAAAGTTAAACTCAATCCGTCAACATGGACTAGTAGAATATATTACCAAGTAACGTGTCTTTGCCTTTTCCAACTTTGAAAACAGGAGGGAAAACCGCTGTATTAGGCTGCAAATCAAACAAGAATTATCATAAGTTAGTCTTTTTATAAAGAGATTTCTTATGTCTATAGCCAATCTCGTACTCTAGTTTTCAATGAAATGCAAAACGTACAGGGTTAAGTAGAGCTACGTGGGGCTCATCATCAATCAAAAGTGTGTTGGATTCTGAAAATTTTCCCCCACGAAAAGGAAGGATATGATACTTGTTTTCCCAAATTTTCTTCAGTTGTTTCAAGAATATGGGCTTGTCCTTCTTCTCCAAGCATTTAAAGCCACTGTCAATGCATTTTTCTTGATCCTACAAAACAAATGAAATTTCAAAAGATTTGTTCGTTTTCACAAATTTAACGTAAAAGGATAGCCTGGTGCATGAAACATCCCGTATTTATACAAGATACGGGAAAGGGCCGCACCCCAAGGGAGTGATGTAAGCAGCCTATTTCTGATGCAAGCATCAGTGGCTAATTTCACGGCTCGAACACGTGAGTTATAGGTAACATGGAGACAACTTTACCATTGCTCCAAGGCTTCTTTCTCAAGTTTAACCTAAAAGAGTAGCTTGGTGCACGACAGGATGCGTAGAAGGGCTGCACCCCAAGGGAAGATGATGTAAGCAGCCTATTCTGATGCAAGTATTAGTGGCTGATTTTATGGCTCGAACCCGTGAATTATAGGTCATATGGAGACAACTTTACCGTTGCTCTAAGACTTCTTTCTCAAGTTTAACCTAAAAGGGTAGTTTGGTGCACAAAATATCCCACGTTTACACAAGATACGTAGAAGGGGCGCACCCAAGGGAGGGTGATGTAAGCAACCTATTTTGATGAAGCTTCAGTGACTGTTTTTATGGCTCGAACCCGTAACTTATAGGTCACAATGGAACAACTTTAACGGTGTTGCAAGACTTCCCTAATTTAACCTCAATAAACAAAAAGAGTTCTTTGCTAGATTAAATTGAAAGCCACTTACCCATACAAATAACAACTTTCGTCGAAGTCCAACCATGATGTTGTCTAGAATAGCATCCATGTTTCTCCTATTATACGGACAAAAGCAAAGCTATAGGAACAATAATTTCAAGAAATTATTATTAACTTACTAGGTTTAAAACATTTTAATTGAAATACTAACTCCATTGCAGATGACCATAGTCCGACTTCAAATCTTTCGAGGCAAAACTTCATAAATTGATCACAAAATGGTCTCTTGAAAACTGCTTTTAACAAGGCATCACAACACAAGTTAAACCAACAAATAAAGATCATCACAATTAACCAAACATCAATAAATCATTTTTTACACACACAACACACACACTCAAACCTGAGAAATTTCCACAAACTAAGTCCGGTTTGTAGCTTTCAACAGTGAACCAGTCGCGACGATGCACTCTATGAACCAGCAGCCCTCCAAGATTAAGCACAAGGAGTTTCTTTTTTGGACCAAGGTTCAGTTTCTCTAAGGGAAGGTCTAACTCTTTTCCAATGTCCTTTGTTTCATCTTCATGATCACTATAATCATCATAAAAAACCAGGGTTTTCAACTTCAGATTTGAAAGCTTTCTTGCCATAGTTGAATTTAGAAGAAAGTTTAGTGATAATACTACTAAGACAATTGAAAAACATATGGTTGCATGATTCTATATTTATAATGGTATATATTCAAGGTTTAATGGTTACAAACCCCTTCAAATACTGTAGTTAAATGATGGTGTCTTTTCACTTCCCAAGGTTCATGCACGCTCAAAATTCTAGAGGATAGAATCTGATCAGTTACTACAACATGATTATCTAAAAGATTATGTTCAGTCATCCGAAAATCAGTAAAATATCTGTTCAGTTTACTACAATCATCATAATCTTGCTAAAATCAGTAGTAACCTAAAGAGCAATAGTTTATCAAGGGGTGGATAACATTATTAATTAAATTGTCAAATAAATATTTCAAGTTTCTAGCGTAGTGGTTACAAAATTATACGTCATAGACGTGTTATTTAGGACAAAGGGCAGCCTACTGCATAAATAAGTATCTCGCAATTATACAGGGTTCGAGAAGGCCGTGTTGAAGTTTGGCAAAATGCCAAAGTCCCACATTGGTTGGGAGTTAAGTTTGGTGGGGATTTTTCCCCTATAAAAGAAGGCCTAATGTTTAGGATTGAAACACACCTCTCATTTGCCTTCTCATCTGTTTAAGGCATTTGTATCTTCTCTCTTTAGTATTATTTCACTTGTATTTTTGGAGTGAAATAAAATATTGGTTGTGTCCGAGGAGTAGGCAAAATTAGCCGAACCTCGTAAATT